ACACTGTTAAGAGAGAGAGAGAGAGAGAGAACCAGAGAGAAAGAAAGAGTATGGTAAAATTCATAGGGGAAAACTTATGTCAAATATAATAATAATATCTGTGGGAAAAAAAAGAAATTTTTTTTTTTAAATATAAATAAATTCCAGTAGGATCGTTATAATAATAATAATAATAATAATAATAATAATAATAATAATTATTATTATTATTATTATTATTATTATCACAGTAGTTTGTTATCAATAGAAAAAATTATCAAAAGTAAAAGTTTATTCGATTTTAAAATTAATAATTAAAGGAAAAGGAGCGTAAATTTTAAAGAAAAAAAAAAAAAAGAAAACGAAAACGACTATTATTATTGGCGAGATAATCCAGAAACCTCGAAAATGTATAAAGAAAGAGAAAGAGAGAGAGAGAGAGTGTGTGAGAGAGTGAGAGAGAGAGAGAGAGAAAATTAATGTTATCTTGACTTTTATAATTTAGTCTTAAGATAAATGAATTTTTCGGAAAATGAAGAAACATTTTCCTTTACTAACCAATTTTACTCTCCGAGACTTCAATTTCCAAAAAACTGGTAAATTTTAAATCAGTCTTACTTTTTTGAATTTACAACAACGGAGAGAGAAAGAAAGAGAGAGAGAGAGAGAAAGAGAGAAAGGGAGCGAGAGAGTGAGAAAAAAGTTTTTTTTTTTTTATAGCCGAATGTTTTTCCAGTTATTATTAAATTATTATTTTCCGACTTGATAACCTTTGTTTATTTTCTCCAAAAACTTTTTTTTAAATGTAAATGTAAACAAACAAACAAACAAAAAAAAAATTTGAATAACAAAAAAAAAAAAAAATTTTTTTCTCTCTGGAAAATTCCTTCCTAAAGAAATAAAAAAAAAAATAATTAAAAAATTTCGTTTTAAATGTAAATAAAATTTTTTTAAAAAATGGAAAAATGGAAAACGAGTATAAAAAAAAAAGAAAATGGAGGACAAACAATTCAAAACAATCCATTAAGAAAATTTTTTTTTTTTTATTTTTTTTTTTCTCCAGACTGGAATTGATTGTTTTCATTGTAAATAAATGAAAAAAGGAAAAAAAAACTTTTTAACGTATCAAAATTTAAATTAATGCACACTGGAAAAATAATAATAATAATAATAATAATAATAATAATAATAATAATAATAATAATAATTATCACCACGATAACGAATAAATTATTTATATAAAAAAAGAAAAAAAAAAAGAAATTAAATGTTTTAACGGTTTTGTTTATATAAATTTAAATTTAATTCTTGAACGTTCCAGAAAAACCGCCCCCGCTACCTCCTCTACCGTCCCCGACACCACCACCACCATCGCCGCCATGGAAATTTAAAACTTTTTTAAAAATAAATTTACATACTAAAAATATA